TCCAACTGAGGCCTAACCAGTGCAGAGTAGAGCAGAAGAATGACTCTACTCTGTGCTGGTTAGGCCTCCAGTGGAATATTGAACCTAACTGCCTTGGAAATCTTCCCTGAAAACCTAGATAGACCTGGAGACCAATACTCTCTGGTCATCCCCTAATGGGTAGCAGCTGATGCCCCATCCTGCCCCAACAGCGACCATCTTGTAGGAAAGGAGAAGAGCTGCCCATGACAGCTAACTTGGTATTGCAGGGCTATTTAATCATCAAGCAGACCTTCAGTCTTGATCTGGAACCAGGGCTCTGGGACCATACAAAGTGGATGCTGAACACCTACGCCACAATTCAACAGCTCCTTAGCCCGAGTCCCTTGAGCATGAGTCAGCTGACACAGGCCAGCCACAGGTGTCTAACTGCAGTGTAGACCAATGTTCCCTCTCATCTTTTCCATCCATGTGTGGAATAAATTTTATGTGCATCAAGGCATGTGTGAATGTGCACCACCATTAGAAACAAACCTCGCCGTGGGTGCTCTGTTAACCAGCTGGGCAGCATTGGAATCCCTGCTGAGTGGCTGTACCAGTGCACAGCTTACCGGGAAAGCCTCTGGCTGGGGTGTGCTGGCCTTGGGTGGGGGCTCTGGGTGGAGGGTGATGCTGGAGTATTACTGGCATGGGAAGTGGGGGCAGCCTGAGACTGTTATGGGGGCTGCAGAGGGAGGTTGGGGGGGGGCTATGGATGCTGGCTAGGGGTGTTATGGGGGCTGCAGAGGGAGGTTGGGGGGGGGCTATGGATGCTGGCTAGGGGTGTTATGGGGGCTGCAGAGGGAGGTTGGGGGGGGGCTATGGATGCTGGCTAGGGGTGTTATGGGGGCTGCAGAGGGAGGTTGGGGGGGGGCTATGGATGCTGGCTAGGGGTGTTATGGGGGCTGCAGAGGGAGGTTGGGGGGGGGCTATGGATGCTGGCTAGGGGTGTTATGGGGGCTGCAGAGGGAGGTTGGGGGGGGGCTATGGATGCTGGCTAGGGGTGTTATGGGGGCTGCAGAGGGAGGTTGGGGGGGGGCTATGGATGCTGGCTAGGGGTGTTATGGGGGCTGCAGAGGGAGGTTGGGGGGGGGCTATGGATGCTGGCTAGGGGTGTTATGGGGGCTGCAGAGGGAGGTTGGGGGGGGGCTATGGATGCTGGCTAGGGGTGTTATGGGGGCTGCAGAGGGAGGTTGGGGGGGGGCTATGGATGCTGGCTAGGGGTGTTATGGGGGCTGCAGAGGGAGGTTGGGGGGGGGCTATGGATGCTGGCTAGGGGTGTTATGGGGGCTGCAGAGGGAGGTTGGGGGGGGGCTATGGATGCTGGCTAGGGGTGTTATGGGGGCTGCAGAGGGAGGTTGGGGGGGGGCTATGGATGCTGGCTAGGGGTGTTATGGGGGCTGCAGAGGGAGGTTGGGGGGGGGCTATGGATGCTGGCTAGGGGTGTTATGGGGGCTGCAGAGGGAGGTTGGGGGGGGGCTATGGATGCTGGCTAGGGGTGTTATGGGGGCTGCAGAGGGAGGTTGGGGGGGGGCTATGGATGCTGGCTAGGGGTGTTATGGGGGCTGCAGAGGGAGGTTGGGGGGGGGCTATGGATGCTGGCTAGGGGTGTTATGGGGGCTGCAGAGGGAGGTTGGGGGGGGGCTATGGATGCTGGCTAGGGGTGTTATGGGGGCTGCAGAGGGAGGTTGGGGGGGGGCTATGGATGCTGGCTAGGGGTGTTATGGGGGCTGCAGAGGGAGGTTGGGGGGGGGCTATGGATGCTGGCTAGGGGTGTTATGGGGGCTGCAGAGGGAGGTTGGGGGGGGGCTATGGATGCTGGCTAGGGGTGTTATGGGGGCTGCAGAGGGAGGTTGGGGGGGGGCTATGGATGCTGGCTAGGGGTGTTATGGGGGCTGCAGAGGGAGGTTGGGGGGGGGCTATGGATGCTGGCTAGGGGTGTTATGGGGGCTGCAGAGGGAGGTTGGGGGGGGGCTATGGATGCTGGCTAGGGGTGTTATGGGGGCTGCAGAGGGAGGTTGGGGGGGGGCTATGGATGCTGGCTAGGGGTGTTATGGGGGCTGCAGAGGGAGGTTGGGGGGGGGCTATGGATGCTGGCTAGGGGTGTTATGGGGGCTGCAGAGGGAGGTTGGGGGGGGGCTATGGATGCTGGCTAGGGGTGTTATGGGGGCTGCAGAGGGAGGTTGGGGGGGGGCTATGGATGCTGGCTAGGGGTGTTATGGGGGCTGCAGAGGGAGGTTGGGGGGGGGCTATGGATGCTGGCTAGGGGTGTTATGGGGGCTGCAGAGGGAGGTTGGGGGGGGGCTATGGATGCTGGCTAGGGGTGTTATGGGGGCTGCAGAGGGAGGTTGGGGGGGGGCTATGGATGCTGGCTAGGGGTGTTATGGGGGCTGCAGAGGGAGGTTGGGGGGGGGCTATGGATGCTGGCTAGGGGTGTTATGGGGGCTGCAGAGGGAGGTTGGGGGGGGGCTATGGATGCTGGCTAGGGGTGTTATGGGGGCTGCAGAGGGAGGTTGGGGGGGGGCTATGGATGCTGGCTAGGGGTGTTATGGGGGCTGCAGAGGGAGGTTGGGGGGGGGCTATGGATGCTGGCTAGGGGTGTTATGGGGGCTGCAGAGGGAGGTTGGGGGGGGGCTATGGATGCTGGCTAGGGGTGTTATGGGGGCTGCAGAGGGAGGTTGGGGGGGGGCTATGGATGCTGGCTAGGGGTGTTATGGGGGCTGCAGAGGGAGGTTGGGGGGGGGCTATGGATGCTGGCTAGGGGTGTTATGGGGGCTGCAGAGGGAGGTTGGGGGGGGGCTATGGATGCTGGCTAGGGGTGTTATGGGGGCTGCAGAGGGAGGTTGGGGGGGGGCTATGGATGCTGGCTAGGGGTGTTATGGGGGCTGCAGAGGGAGGTTGGGGGGGGGCTATGGATGCTGGCTAGGGGTGTTATGGGGGCTGCAGAGGGAGGTTGGGGGGGGGCTATGGATGCTGGCTAGGGGTGTTATGGGGGCTGCAGAGGGAGGTTGGGGGGGGGCTATGGATGCTGGCTAGGGGTGTTATGGGGGCTGCAGAGGGAGGTTGGGGGGGGGCTATGGATGCTGGCTAGGGGTGTTATGGGGGCTGCAGAGGGAGGTTGGGGGGGGGCTATGGATGCTGGCTAGGGGTGTTATGGGGGCTGCAGAGGGAGG